GAAAAAGTCCAGGCCTTGCTGGGTGTACCGACTTTCACTTTTTGTTGCCGGAGGCCCGGAAAGCCTAGCTTTTGTCATCCCACGCCTAAGACACTTCTACATGGGGATGTGAGATTATAATTTAAAAGATCATTTCACAGCTATTGTGAGAACTTACCATTGATGGAAAAAGGAGTGAGATTGCTATATATTTATTATTTTCTAAGGTAGTCTTGATTGTTACTAAAAGAGTTAAAACTCAAATTATATCATGAAGTCTGCATAGTGTTGTAAGTATAACTATTTCAAGTTGTATTCACGACAAACTTGATGTTCTATGATGCCATCACATTTGAGCCAAAGAATGAAAAGTTGAGTGCTTTTTGCTTTAAAGTGCAATTGCCAAATTATTTGTGTGGTGCTTTATCATGATTACCAACAAATCTTATTCTAAATGCGCCTTTATGCTGTGCAAATGTTGATTTTTGCAGTAAAGACTTGCAAAAGAAAGTTATTGTCTTCTTCTATATACTTGTGAGATCTATACATGTGCATTTATTCTGTCTTACCAGTTTTAATATGCTAGCTACCTGTAAGTTGTGTGTTTTGAAACTTATTTACTTGAAAGTAAACTTTTTAAGCATAAGAAAACATGCTAGTTGTGGAGTGAAATTTCACCTCCTTCGCTTGCTCTATCCTTTCTTTCCTTTTCACTGTATCCTTATTTGTATTCATACGGGGATCTTTAAAAAATTTCCATCATTAATGCTTCAGGATACCCGGCATTGGCCATTAATAGCCCCGTTACCTTCTTATGGTAGAGGAAGAGAACGACCTGGAGGAATGTACATTAGTTTTATTCATGGGGACGGGCTGCGTGACGTGATAATCACAGGTTAGTATTAAAACTGAGATCTCATTATTCTGCTGATTAATTGTGCGGCACTCAGTGAAAAGTAAAAAAGAATCTCGAGACAATCTTTTTGTACTTCACCTGACCTTATCTTTATGAAAAATACAACAGAATGCCTAAGAAAATTGAGAATGGTACTAGAACATGGAGTCTCTTTGAGAAGTAATATGCGGAATTTATTATGGATCAAACTTAAATCCCTATTCGGGAGTAATAGTAAGAAGAAAACAGCAATCATAAAATAAGCAAAATTCACAGATCTTTAGTAATTCAACTTTAATGTAATCCAATCACTTGCTTTTTACTATAATGAAGAAGAAGACTATGAGTTTCGCTCCTACTCTTCTGCATACAAAAAAGGGACCCCTAATAAACCATTTATATAATAGGAATATTAAAGCGACTTTATACATGTATGAATACAATACGTGAATGAATGTTCATTATACCCCTACAAAAAAACAAAAAAAGACCTCATCTCGCAAATTACTGCTCTTGAACCCCCAAAAAGTTGGTCATATCGCCTCGAAGGTTGACCTTGCCACAAAGGTTGTTCCATGTTCAAGGAGATGAGGGTACAATATGTGTAAACTCTACACAGTCCGCCACTAAATACATTTCTTTTCAGGGAAAATGGCACTTTGTTATTTGTTGAGTATCAGTCCTTTGTTTACATATCTTTCTACATTTTTTTTTATGTAGGTGAGAATGGCACAATTGATGGACAAGGTGATGTCTGGTGGAACATGTGGAGGCAAAGAACCCTTCAGTTCACTAGGCCCAACCTTGTTCAGTTCATGAACTCCAGGAATATAATCATTTCCAATGTAATATTCAAGAACTCGCCGTTTTGGAACATTCATCCCGTATATTGCAGGTAATATTTTAGTAAGCCATCATTTTCTATGCGAACTTCAATTTTTTGAGTTTTTGTACAGAAAATATATGAATGTAGATTACAGGATCTTGATCAATGTCTTCTTGAAGCAATTTCTCCTGTCATTTTGTCATTGAAGTAAACAACTTCATCTACATATGATTTTAATCCACTAGTCTCAATGAGAGAAAGTTAGGATCCTAAGATATTTGGAGTACAAGTACATTGCTATTTGCATTAGCATCATATTCTTCAAGTGTGTTACCTGGAGACTCTGTATATTTAGCTAAACTAAAACATTCACTTAATGCGTTCTAAAATTAATAATTTTGCGTTGTTGAAATTGTCAAAGTGGAATTTAGTAAGTTATTTCGAAAATAAGGTAACTTACTTTCAAAACAAGTAACTTTTTTATTTAAAAGTATGAAAACTAAATTATCTAAACACAAGTGGATACCAAAAAAAGAAAAAGTTACTCGTACTTTCTTAAGCTTACAAAACATGTTCATAGTGATTGGTGATCTATTCTAACTCTTTTTTACTTTTCCTCGTGTCAGCAATGTTGTTATTCACTATGTCACCATACTGGCTCCGGCTGACTCTCCCAACACTGATGGAATCGATCCAGGTAGGCCTAGAAAATTAAGTGTAATGCCAGTTCTTCCTATTTGAGTATAAATTCAGCCACATTTCATTAAACGAACATGGTTCTTACTACGTAGAAATGGTTTATATTCTCTGCTTCATCATTCTGCACTCTGCATAAAGATTATAGTGCATCTTCGGTACATCCGTACATAGTATTGGATACAACTAAATATGAACAAGATTTTAGTTTCTTGCTATTCACACTTCCAACTGATTTTTTTCCCCTTACGTACAGATTCAAGCTCCCATGTCTGTATTGAGGATTCCTACATATCAACTGGAGACGACCTAGTAGCAGTGAAGAGTGGGTGGGATGAGTATGGCATTGCATACGGTCGGCCTAGTCACGGCATCACAATCCGTAGGGTAACTGGATCATCACCATTTGCCGGAATCGCAGTTGGAAGTGAGACTTCAGGTGGCATTGAAGATGTTCTAGCCGAGCACATAAACTTATTCAACATGGGAGTCGGCATCCATTTGAAGACAAATGTAGGTCGAGGAGGGGTTATACGAAACATTACAGTCTCCAACGTCTACATGGAGAATGTCAGGAAGGGGATAAAGATCTCTGCCGATGTTGGAGACCACCCTGACAACAAGTTTAACCTGAATGCTCTTCCCGTGCTTAAGGATGTCAAAATTAAGGATGTCTGGGGTGAAAACGTTCAACAGCCAGGTTTGATTCGCGGTCTGAAAAATGCACCATTTTCGGGGATTTGTCTCTCTAATATCCATCTCCGTGGTGCCCCAGGTCCGAGAAATTGGCAATGCTCTGATGTAACTGGGGCTGCTATTCAGGTTAGCCCATGGCCATGTTCTGAGCTCACCAGTCGGCCGCAATATAGTGAATGCTATAGTTACTTTTGAAATTCTTTTTCTAATGTGCATGTAGTAATATGATGAATTCCCCTTACAAGAGGAAATAAATTCAAGAAACGTCGAATTTCGTGCACATTTTGGCTTGTGATATGAATATAAAGTTTTTCTCTTACCACGCAGATTTATGATGTTTTTGTACATAAAGTCGAACATGATAATTGACCTGGACTCTTTTCTCCACTACTTGTTATAAAGTTATTATTTTGAACCCTTGTCTCTAGTTGTCTCAAAATGGAAAGTCTAGGCATATCGACCTACTTATTATAGTGTTGGAATTTTGATAGTTTTTTGCTCGTAGAGTTGAAATTCCACAAATGAGTAATATGTCATATGTGATTTTATTACTCCATACATTCCATAAAAATAGATTTACTTTCATTTCATACAGATTAAAAAAATATAACAAGACACATTAAATACGAACATGTTAAAAAACATATATTCATGGGACGAAAAGAGTATATTTTATGAGATGAGATGATTTTCTGAAACTAATAAGAAGTTAACGGACACATTTTAATGGTGTTTTGTAATGTTTATCGAATCACCCTAGTATTTTTGGTTTGGCATGGTACACTTTGTACACGGTATGTCTTGGCCCCTCCAAAGGTGAGTAGGCCGAATTTATTACTGCGTTAATTATGTAATAAATAACTGTAAATTAAACCTTAATAAACATCAAATTATTATTCCCCAACTTGATTTCAAAAACAAAAAGAAAACGTAAGAAATTATTCTGAATGGAATACGTCACCTGCGGGTCACGGGAATCAGAGGAAATCAAAGTCCATAAAATCAGCTAAGAACCCATCAATGAGTGACTGACAGGTGTTAGCACATACACGTGTACCCACCTCTTTTTATTGCTTAATTGTCGACACGTGGAGCTGAAACAAGTGTACAAATAAAATCGACCGGACATAGAGTTGAATGCATCACACTATTTGTATGTCAATACATTTTTCTTTAAAAAAAATGACACGTTTTATTAATAATAAAATAAATAAATAAAAATTTAGAGGGCTTGACGTGACCTGTCCTAAGATTGGGATCACACGTGAGTATTATTAAAGACGAAAAAGAATTTAAAATTTCATCAATAATACTTTGACCAGCCATGCAAATATCTGATCTTTCTTTTCATGACATTTTTTATTTTAAGCAAAATAGAAAGTAAAAATAAAAAAGAAAGAAATGACAGCCTGATATCTATAAAATTCCACCTTGCAGAGGAGCATTGGAACCAAAAGAAAGTCCAAAATTCCAAAAAGAAAAAGAGGGCTGTAAACAATGGATGGCAAAAAGAGAGAGCTACATTTTGTGTTCATGAATTATGATCCTGAATATGAGCGCCTTCGATCCAACAGGCCAGTTTTCTTGAGAATACACGCTTTGGTTGTGTACTTTTAAGTTATTTATTTTGTTGAGTTATTTGTTTACCAACACAACTCACTATTCTCAAGTATGCTTGGTATTCCTTTTGGTTTACAGAACAAAAAAAGGTGAAAATGAGCGTGATTTGTACTTAAGTAGGAAACACGATGAGCTATTGGCAAAGAATCTCCAACCCGGAAGCTACACGAAAACCCTCTCATTGGTCATTGTCGACGGATTTGCAGTAGAAATCACCAATGAACAGGTCACATTTCTAAATATTTTATGTATATCTTTTATGGAAGTACATTGATTCATGTATGTCGAAATCTTAGTGTGTGTGTGTTTCTTTATTTTTTGTTCGACCATAGTATGATTATTAGTTGTAGTAATGGCCTGTTTGATAGCATACAAATTCCAAATTCCATTTTCCATGTTTAGTAGTGTTTGATGACCATAATTTG